TATGCTGTATACATTTTATTAGTAATTTTTTTTTTATGGCTTAGATGTAGGCTCAAGGCTGTATAACCAAACATTTGTAAAATATGGAAACTTAAATAGAGGTTACTAGTTAAAATAAGTCTAATTTATAGCAGTTATTTAAATACTTTGGCAAGACAAAGTATTGTAAGCCACATAATTTTATGTACAAGTATGTCAAGCCGTAATTGATTTACTAAAAAATCTATAGTTAATCAAATAAATTATAAGACTTTTTGTGTTTTAGAATTATGTTAATACTTATTGATTTAATTCAGCATTTTATATTTATCTAATTTATATTATTGAAAAAAAAATCACAAAAAAATAAAAAATAAAGAATTTTCAATTATTTATTTATTTTTATTATTATTCATATATAAGTTTTGGCATCTATGGCCGTTGGTATACAAGGATTTTAAAAGTTCTCATATTTAAGATACAATATTTACATATATAATTACAGGTCATAAACTATTATTAAGATTGGTTTTTATTATAAAGATCATCATGTGACTTATATTGTCTGAGTGAACGGCTTCTGACATAATATTTGATATCCCTGTTTCGCGTCTATCCATTTCAGATACAATGTGTTTGATTGATAGGGGTGTTCCACAACTGTCGAATATAAGTGGGTCTTCCTTCTTCATCAAATATTAGTGTAGTCATTTATTTTGTTAAGTATATTTTATATATTATGAAGTTACCACCTTGTCGAAGACGTCTTACCTGCATTCATTTTTTGTTAACAAATGTGTGTCATAACAAACTTATACACCGATTTATTATTATTTTTATTATTTATTGTATTACATTTTATTATAAAGTAAATACTTTATTTATAATTATTAAAATTAGAGAAAATTCACTGGTCATTGAATTTTTCGAGACGGATATGATTTATGTATTTTGAATAAAGAGATTTTTTTGTATTTTAATTTTAATATGAGTCATTAATAAATACTAGTAAATTATTTAAATGTTTCATTTTTCTAAATTAGTATAATTTAATTTAAAATACAAATGTAAAAATAACTTTTTTACAAATTCTGTTATAAGTAAATTTGATCTAATATTAACTATAAATAAACTGTAATAATAATCTAATATATAGATTTACTCTATTATGCATATATAAAACAGACGGCATACACGCTTTTAGAAATATTTAATAACAATCTTTTTTTCTATAAAAAGTATAATTATTTATTGTTCTCAATAAATATATAAATAAAAAAGTAATCAATAAATTTAAGATGTTTGCTATATCCACTTTTTTATTCAATTATATTTAGGTATTTGAACATCAAATACTTTGTCAATTGATCAGTCATAACTCATAAGTATAAGTATTGCATTATATCTAATATCTGCCTGTGCTTATGATTCATGCACTCTGAATTTATTTATTAATTATTATATAGAAGCCTGTATTACGTATGGGTATTTAAAATTTAAATATCGAATTTAAAAATCGAGCTATAGCTTTTAAGTTTGTATTGTTTATATATTTCCTATATACGTTGACTAGAATTTGGATACAGAATATTATAGTAGGCAAAATTCACTATTTTTTTTTTCCACTGACAGAATTTTTATTAATTGTATTCCGTATAATTGAAATAAGCAAGTTCAAACAAATATATTTTCTAAATGAAATTAAAAATATTATTGAAAACCTTTATGTTTTATTTTACTTTTAAAGTATTTCAAATTTTAAATATAATAAAATAAAATATTTTCATTCATAGGTAATTGGGAATTAATTATGAGTTAAGCAAATATTTTTAGGTATACTGAATTAAAATCATATATTTTTGCGGCCATTATTTGAAGTGAAAGAAATTAAAAATAATTCCGTCGAACGTTAGTCCTTTAAAATTATAATTTATAACTTTCGCAACTTTCTAATAAGAAAGTAACAAACTAATAATAGTTTTCCCTGTAAAAACTGCCAACTAATGTTTAACTAATCTTGACAAGTAGATGAAAATAGTTTTTTTTAAAAGATAATTTTGGTTATTGAAATATATATTTCATTCTTAACTATTATTATTTTAGTAATAAATAGCAGTAAATTTGTCTGGTAGATAAAATATTTATAATTTTGTGTTTGAATACAAATTTACCTATTTTAACATTAGCTGCCAACATTTTAAGTTTATCAAAGTATTCTTAAAATCCATGATAAAAAAACAATTATTTGTTGAATTGTGAATATTTATAATATCACGTTAATATTCTTAGACTTTTTTTTAAATATTCATAACCGTGTGTAATTATGAATTATTATTTATTAATATAAGTTGAATTAAATTATTTCTTTTAACAAATAGCTTATTATGGTTAACCTGTTTAAACTTTATAACCATAAATAATTGTAAATGACAGTACATGTTTGTATTTAAGTATAAACTATTTAATTACGAAATACAAAGAAACAGCATAAACAACTAATAACAATCTATTAATGTATAATATACAATGTATACACATTTCTGTATTTAACATTTAATAATAACTAGATAATTATTATTAATTAATACCAATTTTAATTACTTTCATATATTTTATAAAAAACTATGTGTATATGAAAACGATAAATTAAAATCTATATCATGATTTCATATGTTACCATGATATTTTTTTTTAAGTTGAACATTTTTATATTTTTTTTTGTTTTAGTATATATACTGTGCTTCTAGGACTCTAGGTACAGATAGTAAGAGTTTAAAATTTTCTAAATATAAATTAAAAATAATAATTAACATATAATATACTTAATTAGTAGATCTATAATAAACATACGTGTACATTTTAATGCAAAATAAATAGTAATTAAATAGTAATTCAATAATTATTATAGAAAAATTTCCAAATGAATTTTGGCTTATTACTTTTTAGCTATTATAGCTATATAGTGTTTAAAAATGTTAGGATTGATATAAAATATCCCTCCTTATTCTATTATAAATTTAATATTGATTTTTATATTATCATACATACATACACACACGTATATATATTTATTGAGTATAGGTGTAAAATTTTTATTGGATATCTATGTAAAATTTAAATCACTATCAGACAACCAATGTCACATATTAATTATTATTTCAAGACATAAAATTATAATGAGATCAATAATTGCATAAAAGATATTTATATATATTTACGAAAAATGGAAAAGTGGAACTGTTGTAAATTAATTATTTTGTAATGGATATCAATTAAAAATTAAAACATATGGAATATTTAAATGCATACGAATATACGAAAGAAACAATCTTCGAATTTTTAAATGACCCATTTTCAATATTACAAAGATTCCGAATTTTAATTTATACAGCATTTACTTGTTTACATTGTTTACTTTTTAATTGTATTATGTGTATTATTGAGTAAAACTATCCCAAACGCTGAGGGACTTGAACTTAAAATCACGGGAGGTGATAACAATCGGATTATTAAAGGTAGGTGGACAGGATAAAAAAATAATTGTAACTATAATTTCTCATTTGTACTACCACTGCTTGTATGCTTACTATACACAATATTATTTAATTATTTTATGTTGATCATCTCTAGACTCTTACATCAAAATAGTTGCCGATTATTGAATGTAGATACATTCAGTATACTTTTTCATTGAGTAGGTTTTGGAATATTTTTCACAGTTATTATTATGGAATTGTTAAATTTGAGTTTAATAATAAATCATTGCTTTTGAATAATGATTCTGATCAGATCTATGTCAGTCTAAATTTCTAAAAAGATTTTATTACATGTAATACTGTAATTTATTTATGTTGTTATTAGTAATTTATTTTTCTATTATTTATACAGTAGGCTAAAATCTTTTTTGCTATAAACGAACCACATATTGTAATTATTATTTATTTAATATGATATTAAAAGCTTTTATTAATTTATATAAATCAATATTGAAGAGATATAGAGAAATATGAATAGTTTCGGGGTATAAGTAAAAAAATTAATCTTAATATTTCGAAAATGTTATTGTGTAGAGTAATTAGTAATTATGAAATATTTTAAGGACTGTGAATAATATTTTTAAATTATACAAAAATAAATATGATTATTATTTATTACTTGAAAATCCAATATTGTCAAACTTTATATAAAATGTGTATAAAAGAAAACTGTACTCGTGAGAAAAATTCAAGAGTAATATATTGTATACAATTTTAAGTATAAGCATATTAAAATTAAAAATGTTAAGCACTCTCAACTAAATTACTTTTCATCATGTGACATCAGTTGTTTATGAGTTCAGTAGCCATTTTTACTTTTCATTGACGAATTTTTTATAAATCTGAACTTTAAAGTATTACAAAAATGTTATCGTGTTATCATAAATGCATAAAAAAAACACAAAAATTTCAAATGTCTATAAATACCATGTAAGAATTGAGATATTTTTAAACTTATACAGTGTATAAAATGTGGTAAATATCAAACGAACAATTCAAGTTTTTAGTTCGTAGTAATTCGTATTTTAATTAGGTACAACAAAAAACAAGATTAATTTCGTTAAAAACTGAATTATCTGAATTATATTTGGTGCTGACCAAATTTGGCGTGTACACCAGATTTTATTTAAGTCGAAAATCAATACATCTTTATAGCTATTAATAGTGATGAGTGATGACACACATACAAACGCATACCTACTCATCATTTTAATATCATATCGTTCTGAAGGATTGAAAATATTTATGGTATATTCCATCTATTAAAGAAATATCGTAATTACGTGAGCAATTTTACCGATCTGTATTACTATTATTAACAGTATTAAGCGTAATATTAGGCAGAGTACGAATAAACGCGATTTTACGGCTCGGCGCGCGGAAACTCCAAACCGTACATTGTGCATAAAATTATGTCGGAACCGGTTTTTGTTTTGTCAGTTTTCCCGATCTTGCGGGGCTTATAATATACCTAATATCGTCAGTTCTCATTCGTTTATTTGGTGTCGTCCAACGCGGTGCTGCAATATAGTTATTGTTAGGTATGTACGTCTCATACATTTTCTGCTATGCTCTGCTCATTGCATTGGCCTCTTCAAAGACATTCACTCCACCCGACATATTGTGGTTGGACGAAAGTGAGTAAAACCTGTCACTTTACTATTATAAATATAGAAATAATTGTAGTCGTTAAAGCTAAGTAATTAAGTAAAAGCTAAGATATTATTGACACAAAAATAAATTACTTCTCATTGTCGAATTGTTCTTATTAACACTGTACATGTGCATAACCAAAAAATAATGCATTCTTTTTTTTTTTTCTTTAGTTGTTAAAAATAATAATCGAACTGATAATAAAATAAGTAACTGTAAATAAATCTAATGGGCCATATTATTGTATACTTATATAGTTATGTACCTATTAAATATTCAGTAAATTATCACTATGAAATTTCTTGTATTGCAAATATTTTGTTTATCATTTGCTACTATACCATATACTTGATATTATTAATCATTATTTTTTTTTTTTATTGTTTAAGTTATTTATTTTATAAAAAAATAATTAGTACATTTATAGATTTTATATTTATTAGTCATAAAAAAAAAAATACGAAAAATACAAATTTGTCGATAAAATAAAATCAATTTAAAACATGCCTCTGAGAGAATATAATTTATATGCCTTCTTTATAATCAGTAAATTTTATTTATAGGTATAAATGCATTATCCTTATCATATTAAATAAGTTATTTAAAAAAAAATAGTATTCAAAATTGTAATATAAATAAAATATAACACTTTTAATTAGTTTTATTTAGTATTCACCTTCCAAATTCTCCTTATTTTAGGTGAACATTTTGTTGGTTTTCAAATGCATTTTAATAAATAATTAAAAAAAGAAAAATTTTATATATTTTTCATTGGTATAACTTTAAATACGAGCTAAAAAATAGGTTTTTTGGAAGGTTAATATAACCTTCATTATGGGAATTGTTAGTAAATTATTTATTATACAAATGATTAATATCGGAAAACATGAATTTAAATTTTGTTTACTAATTTAAATAAGCTATTGTTATATTTTGATTTATTTTTAACAAATTCTCGTGCGAAAGAAAATATTTTTAATTATCTAGCCAAACATTATTTTATCATCCTTAAGTGTGTCGATAGAAATAACGATTGTGATCTAATTTTATAGGTTTGTTACAACCACATTATTTTGCATACAATATTAGTAATACTGTATTACCAAAAAGTTGTTGTAAAACCTTGAATAAGTGGTATTAATAGTATATACCTAGGTTCAGCACATATAGATTGAGTTTACTATTTTAATTAAAATATGCGTAATAATTAGTCATTTTACACTAACATCCATAATATATTCATTATTTTTATTATATTTATTTTGCATATTATTTTAATAATAAGAATATTCAAAATGGAAACTTAATCTAACACAACATAATTACCTACATAGTAGTTATTTGTAGAATAAGAAAAATCATCCAGTAACTAATAATTTCTTACCATACAATGTCAATAAATATTCTTTAGCGCATTATATGTTCGTAGGTATATATTGTAATTTTACTTTACATTAATGTTGTATGTATCATATAATATGAATATTTCGAAAAATTAGTGATGACATTTATTTGTCCAATCCGGTCCCGTTGATACAAATCAAAATAAATTAAGATTTATATAAAATTCTAAGCCTTTGTAGCTGAAATTTTAGACCAATAAAAAAAATAAATTAAAAATATGACTACTTTAAAAATTATTTTTACCATTTATTATCTTGTTCGCATAAACTTAAGACCAGATGTATAATAATATAGAGCTTAACATTTTTTAATTGAGCTTAAAAATATTTAATATAGTTAATTCAGTAATCAATTATTATTATAATATTTTAAAACGATCATTTTAAATAGGTATTATGAAAATCCCTACCATACAAATTGGCACAAGATAATTTTAATTTGCGTTTTCATATAAAATGTATACCTATATAAATTTATGCGTAGTATATAGACTACTACTCAATAAAATAAGTGTAATTTAATATTCAAGGTCGTTGAACAACATTCAACTATCAAGTTCAATGAGAAAAACTGGAACTATATAGTTTATATAAAAAAAAAAAATTAACGTGAAGAGGTATAATGCATAAAATTGAATATGCGGCTGAGTTATGTCACTATATTATAATACTAGTCTATGTGTACAGAAACCAGGAAACTCGTTTTATATAACCCCTCCTCAACTACAATTTTGTAATTATTATAAACAAAAAAAAAAAAAAAAAAAACTTATAGTTGTGGAATGACCACAATGGCACGTAATAATATAATATAACCATATTGTCATCGCGAAATTGAATCATTCCGTATAATTCATACTTAAAAATAATTCAACTATAAGCTATTATATAGGTTATTATTTAGGAAATTATTATGACAAAAATCGAAGGTGTCTAAAATATGTATTTGTTGAATCTTGTGGTACAGACCTTAGTTAAATGCTAGTTATAAATTGTATATAATAAGCAGTTTTGCTTTTGCTATTTATATTACTCGAAGTATTCAAGTCTAAATATAATGAAACTGGTGTATTTTTAGTAAATCGATATTGTTAAATTAATGGTTTTTTATGCAGTTATAATAATATATTACTTATATAAAACAATTACTATTTATTATACATCGTGGCATTGAGTATTGTTGTTTTTAATTAATAAAAAAAAAAAAAAAAAACACGCATGTAGAATATTGTAAAATAAAGATTTCTTCTTTGTACTCGTTTTTATTATTATTATTATTTTTTGTCTGTAAGTTATATAATATATATATAATATATAAATAAAAATAAACCAGAAAAATATTTATAATGAATTATAATATGTAGATACACTCAGATTCATTAGTACTTAATACAATTCAATAAAATCAAAAATAGGTAGCGATTTTAACTAATTACAACATAATGTAGAAACTTTAGTTACACCTAATACTCGTATTATATATTTTATATATAAATTGTATAAATATAATAAAAAATAATTAAGGTATGAGGTATTAGCTTAATGTATTTCAATTTATCTATCACTTTAAACAAACGATTGATAATACTATCAAAGGCAGTTTATGTTTGTATATGTTTTTAATACCTAAAACAATACTAATTCTCAGCACTAAGACCGTACCTAGAACACATTTTCGAAGGAAGGGGAATTAAGGGTTCAAGCTTTAGATACGACCTTGGTCAGTATAAATATAATTAGAATAGTATAATGGAGTCATTTAATTTCAAACGGAATATATATCAATAATAGGTTTATTTATAATAAATACTTAATACTATTCTAATTTGTCAAAATTTCGAGTTGTCACAAAAAATGTTTTTTTGAAGAACGTTGCTGTAATAATTTTAATAATACTTGTTAAAATACATGTTTATCATTGTAATCAATATACTTTAATGATATCATTCTTTTTTTGTCTTTAGACGAAGTGTGCAAAACAAGTTTAGTTCCTGGAAAGTCTCACACGTGCAAAATATTAGACGACTGTAAGACGGCCATTCAGGACATAAGAGACAACGTTCAGTATCCGACCATTTGCAGTTTCAAAGGAAAAATGCCAGTGGTATGTTGTGCGCCGGAGACTGTGACCAGAAAAGAAAGACTAGAATTGAATGAAAAAAATCCAAAAATTTTAGCAGGAATAACGCGTAAGTATATTATATAAATATAATTTAACGTAGCATGCATAAGAATCCGATAAAAATAAACTGTATAATAAGTTTAAATATTAATCACAAAGTATATTTCAGACCTCGCGTTTCTTCCTTATTTATACATTTAGTCGTTGGTACTTTGATTTTTTTTGTAATTTTTAAGTATTAAGGGTAAAAGAGATTGACCTTTATTCATTATCATTAAATACTTGTACTATTGATATTCATATTAAGTTTAATATTTTAGAAATTTTTCATTTAAATTTTAAATACATCAGCATTTAAAAATAATCATCACTTTATAATTTAAAAAAGAATTCTTATTTAAAAAGAAAAGAAAAATTTGTAGGTATACGATATTCCTATATTATATATAAAAAAAAAAACAAAAAAAAAAAAAAAAACTAAACGTAAATCTCTGTCTACTGCTAGTTTCTATATCCCATGTGAAAAAGTTAAATCACGTAGATTTTATTTTTTTTCGCAACTTCCTACAAAACTAATTTACTGTTTAATTTGGTGAGAATCGTAAAGACTATGAATAGTGAACTGAAATTTTGAACGTAGGAATTCAGTAAAAATAGAATAATAATGAAAAAGGTAACTTTTGATTATAAACTGTGTATTGTCTATTACTGTTTTAAATTTTGTATTCCCAAGTGACCTAATATACCTACATTAAATATATATTTGTTTTAGCAAATCTTAGTTTTTTAATCATATTTAAAGCAGTACTATAAAGTGCAGTATTTTATTTTGTGTTTATTTTTTAGTGCATTTTGATAGTTACAAAGACGGATTGCTCGAAGATAATCTCATCACCTACTCTCGACCTCGTCGTCAAATTTTATCACGAAACCGATAAAACACACGAATAACACCCGAACGCAATGCATTTATTTTAACGAATCGTTATATACACTTAACGGTGTTGTTTTGATTTATTCCAAACCAAATCACAGATGACATCATGCCGCAGGATAATGCAGACCATAAATTATTACTGCAAGAAAATAAAGACCACAAGGTGTACGATCGTACGATTTATAATCATAATATACGTTGTTACGACCTATCATCTCTCCGCATCACACTATCCACAGATTGTATCACTATATTAAATACACGAGATAAGTATACGACTGTGTGTTTAATATTACCTATATGGATATCAGTCATCGGAAATTTCGTGAAAACCGCTGAATTTTCGCATCGTCAAAATAAGTATAACTTAACCTACTGCATCATAGTGGTCCGAATTTTTTTATCACCACGTCCACCGGTTCGCATGTTTTATGCTACGATTTATTTATTTTTGGTGTACACCTATATCATTACGTGCACGTGTACATAAAATGAGTAATGCGATGTTTTGAGGTTATAGTTATTCACGGGAAAAATCTTAATTGTTGCAGACCGCTTAGACATCAGGGAAAAGTCTATACCGACGATATTTTGCGATGCAATTACGCGGGAAACCGGTTATCTATATCACATAAAAATATTATAAACACAGTCGTATAATTATTTAAAACTCATGACTCCTAATAATATACAAGACGTGTATGGAGAATCGCAACCTATTATAAATTATGTATGCATTATTGTTTCGAAGTTCGTTTCGATGACTTGTCGAGATTTACACATAAAGTGTTCTTAATAAATGATGAACAGTGTGACAGATAATAAATAATAACACTTTAGGTGTTCTGCAAACTGTTTAAGTATTTAATATTGCCAAGTTCGGTGATTAGATACAGCGCACATTTTATTGTTGTTATACTGTTCCACGTATGATTTAAATAGTGTTTTTATTCGTCGTGATTGAAATATGAAACTTGTGCAATGATAATACATAATGTAATATTATAATTTAAACTGTTCTCTCCACCGTCTCCCAGCTTCAGTTTGATGGTCATAACAAGTAACTAATTACAAATGTAATATGTGTATTTAAAATCTGACTCTTTTTTGTTTGTTTTATTTTTTTTTATTTTGTGCTTATAATAAGTATAAAATCCAAATGAGACGAACACCTTTAATATATAAAATAACGATTTTTATATGTACAATCTTTTATTGATCTATCAATTTATGTAAACATTATTTTTCATTATTTTTTTTTTTTAAATTTTTAAATTTTTTTCTATTGTTTTTATTATGACAGTATGCAAAATATCTAGTCATTTTTTGCTTTATAAGCTCAATAAAAATATTATACAATTTGTTTTAAAATTAAAATAACGACAAGTATTAAATAATAGCTACAAATTTTTAATTATAACAACTAAATAAATATGGGTACCTTTTTAAGTATTAAATTGTATCAATTTAAAAGGACACATGACTAAGTCTAGTATAGTTATAATTAAATATTATTAGTATAAGTACTTTTTGTTTTTTTTATACATATGATTAAAACACGTTTATTTAATAAATTAATTGTTTAATAATTAAATTTTTTTTTTTTTTTTTGTGAATGAATACGCGATAAGTTGTCTAGTTGATAAAATAATTTGATTTCTAAAAATGAGGGTAGTTTTAGGTATAAAACTAAATCTAGTTTGTAAGTTAAAGAGGTTAAAAATGTTCAGTACTTCTTCTAATGATTGGAAAAAACAAAGAGAAAATTAAAAAAAAAAATAGAAATTTTTACATAATTCCAATTTTTGACAAAACCGATTTTGTAATTTTTATGGAATTTCAAAACAAATGACCGTATAGATACATACATTTTTCTTCAAATGTTTATAATATTGGATTTTTTTAGAAATATTTACAGATATGACAATTTTTAATAAAAAAATTAAGATACCTCCTATTTATATAAGTATACCTAATATATTAAATTTTGACTTCTGTCGTAAACAATTAAACAATTAAATATTTACGAAAACTATTATATACCATAAATTGAATTTTCAAGTTAGAAGAGTGACTGGGATAGTATAAATTCTCTAATTACTTATTTACAACGCAATAACGTGATTTATTATTATTATTATTTTATTTTTAAGAACTCGACGTTATTATACTTTATTTTTAAAACTATTTTATACTAATGTTAATACACTTTACATACGTATATGTGTATTAAATTATACTTTTAAATTCTAGTCGACAGTTTTATTCTTCAAAAGTTTCATTCAACGTCAATAACATTATATTTTTACACCGCTGTTGTAAATAGACATATATAAAAAAAATTAAATGTGCTTAACGAGAATGCGTTTGTGATCAATGGGTATTTGGAGAATCATTGGTTCTGTTTTAGAGTTGTGATATTATTCATTTTTAAATATTTCAATATTTAATAAAATTATTTGAAGAAAATGGTTTAATAATACAGGAGATATGATTATAGCATAATTTTATCGTTGGTAATTTAAAGCTATGTTAATACCATTACAATTTAGATAATATACGTATGCCATATAATGTAATTTATTTTAAAAATTTAATTTAGAAGACTTAATAAATTTGTATGTTATAACTTATAAATAATAAAACTCAATACGATATTATAATTATTAATAAAAATTAATTAAAGCGAGTAATATTTTATTTGATATTTAGTTAAAATGTTTAAGATTTATTTTAGGTTCTTACTTTTAATATGTCTCTCGTGAATAATGTGGTTCAAGTCTGTCATATTCTAAGGAGCAATGTATAGGCAACACATTATTTTACATTCTATATGGCGGTTCAGTGCATGGAAAGGAAATTAACATTATTATTTATTAATTTATTGATACGAACCGACATATTCCAGACGTCCATTATTAGAACTAATCAGGTGTTATTTTAGAGTTATTTTCCAATTCAATTTAAACATGTAAAAATTGTTTGCGTATAGATTATATTCATTTACATCCAAAAAAATAAATAATAAATGCGTGAAAATACGTTTGCATAATATAGTTTACACTAAAGTACTTAAAATAATATGCTCTAGTAAACACTTATTAAGATTTTGATACTATGGCACATTTTATCCGTTCAATTATTGTTTCAATAAACTGACATGGGTATTTACTAACGTTATGAAAAATTGAATGGTATTTTTATATTCTAACAAATCAATATGTATGTTTTTACATGAAGTTAATCGATTAACTAGTTCATTAGAAGAAATGAAGTTTTAGAAGGAAACATATTTTTGATTTAGTAAGTAGAATAACATCATAGATACATAATATGTCATTAGCAGTTAAATACCAATGATATGGTTAATAATATATTAAAACAAATTAAGGTACATATTTTTCATATATAAGTAGATAAATTATTTTAATATGAAAAAATGTGTCAGTTTTTAGGTTATAAATATTTTGAGAGATTGTTAAATATCAATTTATAACGTGTCATGTAAGTAATTGTTAATAATTTGAAATTAATATAGTTTTTTCCTTAGTTATTTATACATTTTTAAAAATTAAGCATAATATTACAGGAAAAAATTAACAAAAACATATTTGTTGTATATTATTGAAAAATATAAATGTTTATATATATGTTCACGTTACACGAAAAAAAAATATATAAAAAATGAACAAAGAAAAATATTAAGGTTGTGTTCGTTATATTTTGTATATTTTATTATAGTATACGATAGATACATAATAATATTATAATTATTATTTTTTGGGGAAATCCCAACCGAGTTCGGGTTTTTCGGCCACAGCCATGTACACCATAGCTCCTCGGTTTGGAAGTGGTTGAATGGCTACGTAAGTCCGTTTGTCCGGTGTCCAATGGCACTGATATGGAAGAGGTTTAGGCGGAGGCAATTGCTTGTCGAAAGGTCCAGGCTCAGGTTTCTAAATAATAATTGTGTATTAGATATAACTAAGCACTTATAATCTCTTAAATTGGTTGAAATAGTTTTATACTGATTTATTTATGTAAATACCTAACGTTTAATTATTTTACTTAAACTGGAAGTTATATAAAACTGTTGAATTTTGACTAAATTATCATATAGACTATACTTTTTTTTATGTAGATGTCTACTTAATATAATATATATATATAATAAAATGTTATATGAATAATAAAAAAAAAATTTTCGTTTGACCAGCCGAATGGTTTTTTAAAAGCTATAACAATAATATTATTGCACTCAAAATATCTCACACACAGCAATATTGCAACACATAGAGCATCCGTCCCACATTCTATTAAAAATATATACATAGCGAATTAGCTGGTGTTTCTGGCACTTACTCCCCACATACAGCACGTGGGTGACTGTCCAGTTTCGGCGATCGTCCGCTTGATAATCCCCATGAAATATTTCATGAAATTGTTCCGGTGTTTTAATACGTTCACGTCCTTGCTCTGCAGAGACTTCACTCTAGTGATCCACTTGTCGACTATGGACCTGTCTATGAAGTGAAAACAAAATCGTTACTAGTCAGACGATGACGACGAATGACGATAGAATAATGAATTCAGAATTGTACAGTCGAACGTGAAAACAGTGGCAAGATTATACTGTTAAAATTTACTATGAAAATTTGATGTTTTATTCGAGAAAAATCACAATAAAAATAAAGATATATTGATTTGTTTTGAAATTCGTTTGAAAATAATAATTCAAGTATTAATATAAATTATAATGTCCGTGGTAAATTATATTACCATCCATGTCTCGCAACAACGGTATCATAGTTTTAGCAGCTTCTGTCATTTCCATAAATTCTTGTGCGTAGTCCGTCATAATATTTTGAGAATTTTGCACTGTTCCTCAAATGATCAATTTTAATAGCCAAAATTGTAAAAATGATATTATATGTTACCAAATGTTTAAAAGTTATAGGAGTGTATAAAAAATATAGAATAGCAACGTTAGTAATTACTTGTTATTTATTTCAGCCAATAGCCGTAAAATGATTAACTTTCATAAATCTTAAATGTAAAAATACCAATAATTACTTTTATATGATAAAAGTGGATTTTTGAACAGTTTATACAATTTTTTAAAATTATTTTTAATATCTACTTACCATCGTTAAAACCAGTCTGGATATATTTTAGAATATCGTATTGTCCTTAGAGAATTATTATAAAGCACCTGTAGATATCTACCTATATAATGGTGAAAAGTTTTAAACCTATGATTTACATCAGGATGGTCAGGTATATACGTACATATTATGTATTGCGCATTTATTAAACACTCAGACATATAATATCCAATACATATTAGAAATTAAATATTAAGTGTTTTTTATTATCTATACTCATATACTAGTTCATTATTAGCTGTCTTTAGTTATAATATTTTGATAAAAATTATTGAGTTCCAATAATGATTGTGAATAATTTTATATTTTACAATCTACTAATTCTGTTTACAAGTTTTAGAATTTTGTTTTTTTTTTCTTTAACTGTATTCATACATTATAGTATTAATTATTTACATTCAAAAACAAAATGTTTGATGATTTTAATTTGATAACGATCTTATTAAATATTATTTGTTACAAAAAATATTGGTTATATTATTTGTTGATTCATAATTATTATTTAAAAGACTTTATTGTACATTAATGATTGTTATTAGTATAATATATATTTAATATAATGTTGTCTTTGAAAATAATAAAACAATTTTTTTTTTCTATTTAAACCTTAAAGGTTTAAATTGAAGATAAATTCAAATGGTAGACTTAAAAAAAAGTTTTGATAAATTAAACTGAAACATAACTACCTTATACAAAAAAAGTACAGTATATATTGAAAAAAAAAAATAATATATTTGTTATTAATCAACTGAACTATACATTTTGTCTAAGATAACAATTGTCTTATAAGACGAATTGTCATTAACAATATAAGTTATGGTAATAATTAAACTTCGTGATAAAATAACAGAAAATAAATTTATTATCTATTAAATTAAAAGTGCCTTCACTGGAAGGTATCTTTAATCCGTCCTTCACGCCATAATTACCATTTCATCAATTTCACTTATTGTTTCAAATTTATGTAACAGATTGTGGAAATATAAATAAAGTAATAAAAAAAAAAAAAAATTATCTATTAAATATGTAGTAGGAGTATAAATAAAAAACAAATAAATAACTACAAACAGTATTAGTAAAGTTATAAATAAAATTGAATTGAATAAGATATTGTAAAATATTTTTACATAAAAATATTATTGTCATACTTAATATTTTATATTTAACAAAAGATTTCATAAATGCTTTTCTTACATTTGAATAAATATAACTATTAACTTCTGAATAGAATTTTATAATAAATAATAATATAATTGTTTTGGTTGTTTTGTTTAGTGCGGTATTATATTTATAGAGTATGTATATATACACTATTATTTTTTTTTTTTTTTTTGTGACCATTATCTATTACTTAAATTTCCTATAATAATATATATTATTTAGTATTTTGAATGATTTTTGTATTTAATTATTTTAAGTAAATAATTGTTTAAAAATTAACTGTTCGAGATTTCACTTCTACAAAATATTCTATAAAATATAAACATTTAATAAAAAAAGAAAAAGAAAAAAAAATTACGATAATATTTAAATTATTTTGCTTATTAAATGATTTGTAACAAGCATTCTGTAAGAAGAGTCAATCTTTACAAAGTTTATTACTTAAAATGGTATTATATTTAATTAATAAATATAATCTATCATGATTTATGATATATTATTGCTGTTGTTTTTTCCTTATATTAAATGTGAAATACAAATTACAATTATAATTTGTATTGGTGAGAGTAATTTATGTATGTATCAATAAAAATAATTAGGCATTTACAGAATTATGATTAAAATAATCATTTTAGCCTTTTATATACATATGGTATTAACTATATTTTAATAAAGTTCTATGTGACATGAGTCGTATCAAAAATAAACTGGAAATTGAAATTACATAATAACGTCATGTATAACTTTATAATGAACATATTATTGTGATTTTAGGATGCTATTTTTGTGAACACATACTTGTGGAAGGATTTGGATGATAATTTCATGAATGTTAGTATAGAACAATTATTTGAAAAATGAGTATCTAATAGTTTTTTTTTTTTTTATACAACTGATAATCTAGTCACATTTATTTTTAGAATATTATATAGTTATGGTACTGATATGTAAAATAAAAATTACGATTAAAATTTTAAAGTGTACATATATTATACTTCATTAATTAGTTAAAGGTTTAAAAAATAAAATAAAACAAAATGATTAGGCTCCTAACATTTTTTTAACCGAGTAACCGGGAATGGAATAGAAAAATAATATTATCATTAGGAATATTGCTAGTACGATGATCCCTTTCAGAATTTTCCATTTATAATTGTGCCAAATGATGTACCGTATAGATTTAAATGGATTTAAGAACCACATAAATGAAGCATCTGGTCGACTGTAAAAATAAAATAGTTATAATTTAATATCATATCATACATGACGTGTTATCAATAATTTAATTTCCAATTTATATTTTACTTGGGTTTATCCAATGGATCTGGTTCATTGCGGCCAATACCAGCAGGAATTTTTTCCGCTTCGTCAGTGGTAAGCAAATGTAACTCAGCCTCAACTTTTCCCTGTAAAATAATGTGTCTTAAAAACTGTAATAATTTTACATTGTTACACGAAACTGGTTTACAAACCGTCAATTCCATTTCCTCGTTTTCTTTTTTAACGTAAAAAGGCCACCAGCCTTTAACGCGTTTTTGTTTGAATATATTAACCATCGGAACTGATCCATCCGACTTGAGCATCTCCAACGTGCACAACTTTGAAGACTTGGCACCTCGAGGAAAATTGTTCAAGTCTAACGTTAAAGCTCCTAAACATTTAATTGGTTTGAATTAGAAAAGAACGTTGTTTTTTTTATAAATAAAATACAGGAACTTGTACAACTTACATACTATTTTTGAGTAAATATCTAAATGTAGTTAGAGTATAGTAAATAAATGTTTCTAATTTCCTCAAAGTAAAATATGATAATTAATGTTATTTCCATAATATAAAGTTTCCAGTACTATTTTACGTACATGTATTTATAACAAGTAAATTGTAATAGATATAAGATATAATGTAATTTTTTAAAACAAAAAACCGTAGTATCAAATTTTTATTAATTTTTAACTTTGATAAATACATACCATGCATAATTTATTATCCACCCAGTACTTCATTAAGTTCTATAGTTAATAAATGTCAACACAAAAATTAGTTAATGACATATTATTTTAAATTTATTAAAAGCTGTTAAGTTATATACTCTTGATTAATTGTTAGTGTCATTTTTTATAATGATTACTATACTTTAAGTCATAAAACGCTTATGACTAAATATTTTAATGTCACTATTTCCGTGTCCTGAACCACATTAACTATTTGAAATTATTTGAATTTACCCAGAAAATCATCAGCTGAAAAATGGTCAGCATCCCACACTTGAAGCTCGAGTCTAGCCGGTATTTTACTCTCCGTTTCGTCCCACGAGAACAGTGACTCTTTTTTCGATATAACAATTTTTTCTTCCGCCACTAAATAATCGAACGGAAATAGAAATCTCCAATTAAAGTTGCCCTCTCCCGTCAACGATCTGTAATGTATGTCTGTGCTTTGACAGTCTTCCGGGCCTTTCAACCATCTGCATAAAGTAAAATATACGTGGGGAATTAAATTGAAATAACTTATTTATATCACAATTTAGCACGGCAGCAATCTCAATCACCCTTTTACGTAGATGTCACTCATTTTTTCCCCTGTGAAAAATGCATCATCTTCTAGCACTACGTCGTCCGTGTTCCAGATGATCACTCGCAATTGGTATGATTTTGGTTTCCTTGGCGATATGTCTAACGCCGGGCCCGGCAGTGGCATGTCCATCGGAAACATGTCCACCCACATTTCCAGTTTGCCCTAACACACGATCAATATACACAACCGTTATAGCTCATCGACAGGTCTTTATTTTATCGAAACAAATTTTATTCGACTTACTCTTTCGATTCCCGCTTTGTCTGCAATGAACAGTGGCCTAGTCTCAATATGTTCGGGTACAAGGTGACACCCTCTTCGAGGTATTTCGTGCCAATTGTGTAAGACGGCCAACGCCATGTGTTCTTCCGTACCTGAAATAATGCTTTATTAAAATCTATAATAAATTATGTCTTATTCTTTATTCTAGACTTTCCACTTGCCTTTTGCACAATACCATTCGATCGTGTCGTCAGTATTATTTTGAAGACAAAATGTTTTCGTGCCAATTTTAACCGTTCCGTTTAAATACACAGGTGGGTCTAATTTAGCTTCTTTGCATAGTTTCGCTAATATTTGTGTTGGTTTCATTGAATCTCTCCATCGATTGTATCCCGATCTAAATGTTTGAACAATTTAATATTACCTTTGACGTTTAAATAACGATTTATTCTTGAACCCTAATAAAAATAATTCAACACTACTTACAGTTCATAAGTTTTAGGAATACCACATGTTGCTCTATGTCTACTATAAAATCGATTTTCTAAGTCTATTCTGGTCTCTCCTATTAAATCATCTGATCCCAATAGATCCCAATCTAGTATTTGCACAGTTAACATAGAATCTTGTGGGAATGTCGCTTCAATTTCAAAACATCTAATACAAATAAATAAATATAAATACAATTTTATTATTGTTTAAATCCTTTAATGTGATTCATAATTTTTTTTAAATT